CTGAGTGGGGGGGGCTGGGTGGGACAGGAGGCCTGCGTGGGGGGGGCTGGGCGGGGCTGGAGGCCTGCATTGGGAGGGTGGCTGGACTGGGCGGAAGGCCTGCAGGCACCTCTGCAGTATGCAGAGGGGGACACCAAGGAGCGATCTGCGTGATACAGGTCACAGCTTCTTTTCTGAGGCTTGATCCCAGGTGACAGCATGGGACACTGGAGAGCAGGGTTGTCCTCTCTCTCTCTCTCTCTCTCTCTCTCTCTCTCTCTCTCTCTCACCCAGCTTACACCTGCCTCTTGGGAGCTACAGGGCAGGGCAGGGAAACACTGCCCTGTCACCTTGTTTCAAAGACTATTCATCAGCACCTTGGCTAGAGCAAGACGCACTGCTTAAAGCCAAGGGCACAAGGAAAAGTCCAAGCAGGCTCTGTACGGATCAACACGGGGAACAGGGCCAGGCGCAGCCCAGGCGCTGATAACGGCTCTTCTGTCAAGATGTGCTTCCCCACGCCCTCCACGTGGAAGTTGCGTAATTTATATAATCCATCAGAATGGCATGTTATGTGGCTTTAAAATTTCTGACCCCCACCAATCTTACCAGATTTCAAAATTAATTTTGTAATGAAGATCACAAAAAGTGAACGGATTGCTTGACGTCAGGGTCTGACATTACTGCCAAAAATAAATTCACTACCAGAACCAGAAACTAAAATTAAAATTGATATATTTTATACTCGATGCTTTTAATACCTGTAGATACTCTTTTAGCTGTGTTTTATGAAATGCAAATCAGAGTCAACTTAGGCATGCATCATTGCCTTTCTTCAAAAGCTTTGCTTATTCTAAGTTCTAAAAGAACCAGTAATTTAATTAATATTTTTCCATTGGTTTAAAAAAAAATAGCACAGGGACTGGGGAGATAGCTTGGTGGTCTAGTGTCTGCCAAAGACCCGGGTTCGAAGCCCAGTACCGCATGCTGAACCCCGGGGTGTGCCGTGCCAGCCCTGAAACAGGATGAGGTGGTGCATGCACACCTTTAATCCCAGCACTGGGGAGGCTGAGACAGGAAGATTCCTACGAGTCTGAACTGTGTAGTGAGACCCTGTAGCCAATAAATAAATAAAAACCCAGCACATTTCTATCATTGGTAAATACAACAGTGCAGCTGTTCTGGGAATTTCCTTCTAAATTGAAGCAGATTTTGCAGATACTGGGAAGGCCACAACAGGCAGGTCGAATACTCCAGTGACGCTCTGAACAGCCATCTGGGGCATAGCTTAGTGCATAGTTCGAGGACATCCTCCTCCCCTTCGTTCTCGACTCCAGACTTTAGAGCTCCTACTGTTGTAGGCAGCTGAGGGAGAGGCAGTGAGTCAGGGCTGGGCCTCAAGGAGCCGGTGTGGAAGAGGGGATGGCTTGGCACTGTGGAGGGGACAGGTACCTCCGCTGCAGGCCAGGCCCCAGGACAAAGGATAAAGCACCCACACACCTCCCTAGGGCTGGACCCTGGCGACTGATATTCTGCAGAGGCATCACTCACCTTGAAACAGACAGAAGAGCACTAACCCAACCCCCTACAGGAAAAGGCTGTTCTGTATCTATGCTGCCGGCGACACGCCTCGCGTCCCCATTCGATCCCAATTGAATCCACTTTACCTGAGCCATTATGCCTGTAATCTTATTGGTGGACCGTAGTTTTGTCCCACCTCATGCCTACCTTGCAAGTTCCATGGTTCCCATCTTGAACCCGCCTCACCTTGTGGATTTGTTTTATAAAATCCCTAAGGAAGCCAAGGTCCTGGGTAGCATCCCAGGTCCCCTTCTGTCCCTCTCTCTGACAGAACCTTTCTTCGCCCAATAAGTACATTCTGCTTTTAACCTCCACTGTTCTTAAAAGTTCATTCTTTGATTTCAGAGAACACAAACTGGTCCCAGGTGTCTTTCAGGTTGGGAGTTTCCCTCCCGTATGTCACTTCCTTCTATTGGCTCATCAAAGCAAGCAGATTCTTCATAGCCACTTGTGCCCTGACTCACAGTGCTGTGGATCTGGCTCTGTTTCTATTGATAGCAAAGAACAGAAACCATGGCCTTCTGGTCACTTTAGGTGGGAAAGGACCCCGAGGGAGAAAAGCTGGCTTTTGCGGCATGGAAGATCCCCTGATGAACCACAGTGTGGCACTTAGGAGAAATGCGTCATCTCACAGTCAAATCACCACAGCAGCTGCCACCTCTCAGTATCTGTCTGGAACAGATCCTACCCTGACCCTGATACTCAAAACAGACCTGCGGGAGGATTCCCAGAGCCAAGCAGCACTTTATTCACATTCTATTTCATTTTCAGGCACGACCCTGGAACCCAGACCCAGCCCTGCAATCCATGGACCAACCAGCCAGTCAGTCATTTTAGCTTCAAGTTCCAGTAAGCTTGTCTTTAATATGAAAAAGCTGGCTGAAAGCTCTTCTGATGTCCTAACAATCCAAAATTCTACAGTTCTATAAATCTCCTATCTTTGACTCTCACAAAAAATGTTATGCTTGGAGAGATAGCTCAGAGGCATAAACACCTACCTGGCAAGCACCAGAACCCAAGTTCGATACCTGGCACCATATGCCGTGTGGTCTCGGCCCTGGATCCGGGTGCCCACCACGTGGTCCCAGAACTAGGCACAGTGGTGCACGCCTGTAATCCAAACACTTGGGAGGTTGGGCCAGGAGGATCTCTACGAGTTCGAGACCAGCCCGGGGGTTACAAAAAATGAACACAAGGACAGCCCAAACTGCATAATGAAACCCTGTCTCAAAAATAAATAAATAAATAAATAAATAAAATTATTCCTACCACCTCTCAGGGAATGGGTATGATATAAAGGTAGTAGCAAAAGGATTTCTAATAAATAGCTATTACACTGGAATTTACCAAGTGTAAGTCATACCTCTAGGGCCTAGGACTTTGGAGACATATCAGACTACACAGCAAAGTCAAGTTAATCAATGAATAATTGCAGTAAGAACATACTATGCATGGGATAAACAAAGCATATATAGGTGTTTGCTATTCTTTAAAGCTGGCTTTGTACCAAGGGAGCAGGCTACTCACCATCTGGCTTAAAGGGAATTTTATTCTTATAAAAACGAAGATTGCTGAAGTCATTTTGATACCGGATATCTTTGAAGTTCTGCTAAAGGAAAAAAAAAGAGTCACTCTCTAGTATATAGAAATACAGAAAAGGCATAGGACACTTCTTACAAGTGCTCTTACTGCAGCATAAGAGTACAAAAACTTTACATTAGAAACACTTCTGTGCCCTTACTGGGTACTGGTGTCGGTATTTGTACAAATCCCTCGCAGCATAGAAACTTCTCTTTGGTTTGGCAGCTGCTTCAGCACACTCACCACCCTAAAACAAAAAGTGAAATTCCATTTATGTCTTGAAGCAAGAAAATTTTCACTGGAAATTTTCCAGAACAAGCTTGAAATAATGAATATCCACAAAGAAACAGGGAAATTGTCAGCCTATCAAGAATCATGAAAAAAAAAATCCTAAGTACCTTTTTCAAATAATATTGTCAGCAAAGTTTACTGGCATTCTCTTTCCTTTATTCACATAAAATTGTGTCCTAAGGTGTGTTACTAATTTTTATTTATTTATTTTTGTGGTACTGGGGATTGAACTCAGGACCTATTCTACTGAGCTATTACCCCAGCCCACTAATTTTTTTAAACATTTAGTCTTCACCAAATGACTTTAGAGGACAAAAGTTATGGATCAGTATCATGAGGAAGAAAACACTAGAATGAATTCAAAATGTATTCTGCCAGATGTCACACCAGTAGTGTGAGAATAATGCTTATTTTAGAACAGACAATACTAAAAACCCGCTATGATGATAACTCAGTTTTACAAAGAGCACTGTCATTACACTTGCAACATTTATTTGTCCTTTGAAGTCAAGTGATATTTATAAAAGAAAAGGAAGAGTTTTAAACAAACTAGCTTGATAAACTCTATCCTTTGTAGCACTATAACACATATGTGAAGGCACAAATAACCATCCGTTCACTCGCTGATAACATGATGTGCTGTAAATCAGCATGTTTAAAATAAATACTCCTAACGCAACAAGAGCTTTCTCAAATGGAATGAACCTCAGGCAGAAGTAATTTATATCTGGGAGTTTCATCATGCTTTTGATATGCTAACCAAAATTCCCACCACTGTGAAGTCTTTGTTTAATCTTTTATTGATTTGGTACAGGTTCTCACTACGTAGTTCGGACTTGTAGTGATTGTCCCATCTCAGCCTCCCCAGCACTGGAATGACAGGTGTGCGTCACCACTCCGGGTTTCAGTGACTGGCTCGATGTGGGGCCTGCACAGCACGTGGTACCAGGGATCAAACCTGGGTCCTTGCACTTGCCAGGTAGGCGCTTAGACCACCGAGCTATCTCCCCAACCCACCACGAAGTCATTTAAAATGCAGGTCAATAGGTTCCATCTGCCTTCACCAACTATATGTCCTATTATAATGTATGATAAAGTCTTCATCCTATCTGGCGTCCTACAGAAGAATGCGATGGATGATGAGGAATACTGTAATGCCTACACCTGAATGCTCGTGAAGAGCTTTTGCCCCAAATCCTTTTCCTGACATCCTTCTGGTCTGTGCTGACAGGCCGGCATGCTATAAGCAACATTCACACATTTTCCAAGTGACGCGATGCTCACTCTTACTACAAAGATACTGACTTTAATTCCATTCCTTGATAGGTAGCATGAGTGACACTGTCACGTTCCAGAAGCAAGGAAAGGCTTGAAGCCTGGTCCTTGCCACACATCTCAAAATAGCTCAGCTTCACAAGTCTCTGCGTCTACTTAGCCTGAGCTACACCCACCTGAATCACCATCATACATTTGTATAGAGAACTCCTATGAAGATTTACAGAGAACTCCTATGAAGATCATCAGATTTGATTCCTACAGTTCACCTGGTGGTTCCATCTTGGAAATAAGGTACCCAACGCTTAGAAAAATGGATCAAGATCCAAAGCCCAAAGACAGTGCAAGAACTAGCCCAGTTCTGAATCCAACTAATTGGATCTGAATTTCAAAAGAAAAAAAGAATATGCAAAAGATCAGTGACCCAAAATTTGGAGTTGGGAGATTAGCATGATTCTGATATTTAGTACTTGCGAGGTCTTAAGCAAATCTCTAGTTGAATCTTAGTTTCAGCATCTTTAAAGTGAAGATAACGACTCAGCCCACTCTGCCCTCTTCTCTAGGACGGCCATGAGAAAGACTGCTTCCTCTGACCTACAAACAGGCCAGCACACCACATCTGGCTCCACCCCTCCACCCCACCAGCTCTCTATCCTGGCCCCTCCACCCCACAGGCTCTCTCTCCTGGCCCCTCCACCCCACAGGCTCTCTATCCTGGCCCCTCCACCCCACTGGCCCTCTATCCTGGCCCCTCCACC